TATATATTTATATATATATATCTCGATGCGTTAACGGGGGCGATGTTTATCTGTGGTCGTGGCTCGTATCGTTACTGAAATGGTCTTTATTTTGTTCTGTATCGAAGGCGGATCTGAAGAAAGAGATTAAGAAGTTGCAGCGGCTTCGAGATCAGATTAAAACATGGCTTACTTCGAACGATATCAAGGACAAAACAGAGCTGATGAAGAATCGGCGTCTAATTGAAAAGCAGATGGAACGATTTAAGGTATTATAATGTCCTCGACCGTATACGAAGTTACACTAGATAGAATGGTGATCACTAATTTAGTGTACGAATGCACACATGTTTTACTATTTTTCATCCTTTATCCTTTCATCCTATTTGCGGCTCGTTTGCACCAACCTCAAAATAGGTGGTGGAGAGGGAAACAAAAACGAAGGCCTTCTCGAAAGAGGGCTTGATGAACGCAGCCAGGTTGGACCCTGCAGAAAAGAAGAAGAATGAGGCTCGAGAATGGATTAATGGTTGCACAACCAATCTTACAACCCAGGTATGGATTGCTTAGTTAGCCATACATTTGATTGTGACTCGCTATTTTTCTTTCTTTCTGAATTGCTGATGGATTGAGTCACACCTTTCTACAGATCGATACGTTTGAAGCGGAGATCGAAAGTATGTCTGGTAAGAAGAAACGCAAAGGTCAGGATAGCGAGCGTAAGGTACAATTGGAAGAGTACATCAGCAACCACAAGGAACACGAAAGGAAGTTAGAAATTGTGCTGCGTCTACTTGATAATGGCACTATCGAACCAGAAGCGGTAAGCATTCACTACTGTACAGTTTCATGTACTTTTGGATACTCGCACACTGAGCGTATTGTTGAGTCTTTGCTCGTCGTTATGCCATAGTGGATTTGTATTTAAAAATTCGTTTGCATGCGTGTGCATGAGAAACGAGAGTCGCATTTCAGCACGTGCCCATGTGTTTACCTGAATTGCCTTTTCCATCCATGACCCCCATGGACACGCCCTTTTGTGATTATGTTGGTCTGCACTAGTATACTGAAACGCCGTCTCGCTATGTTCATCCCGAAGCTCGACGATATCAAGGAAGACGTCGAATTCTATATCTCCGACAATCAAGATCCGGACTATGAAGAAAACGAGTATATTTATGATGCTTTACCGGTGGATCTAGAAGAATATGAGGAAGACGTAGGAAGGGCAGAGCCAGAACCGGTTGTGGTGCTGGACCCCAAAGCACAGAAGAAAAAGGTGTGAGAAATGTGTGCAGTATCCGAGGATCGCCTTGTATCTTTATTTTTTCGTTCTGTCATTTTGTGTAGTTTACACCTCGCGATTTTATGTGAGATTTGTGCTAGTCAGATACAGTGCCAAGTGGAGGACAGTTTGTGTGATTGTCTATGTCATAATTTAGTTCTTTTATCACGGGATCGCGAGAAATTGTCCCTTTATTTTGTATGTCGATATTGGTATTGATGTAGTACTTTTACCACAGACAGTGTGAAAACAATACGTCCTGTGTGTCTATTCACGCAATGAATGCAATGCATCTACCACAGGATCGCGAGAAAAAGAAAGAAGAGGAGGCAGAGGCGGCGGGAGCTTCTGCTGCGACGGCTGAGGAGAAGAAGGAAGCACGCATGTCCGCATCATCCAGCACCAGTGAAGCTGAACCACGCAGCTCTATAGGCGCGAGTCCGACGAAAGTTGGGTCCATGCCAGCATCTCGCACTAGCTCGACGGTTGAGAAGTCTGCTACACACGGAGAGGCCAAGAAGGTGCTGATTGCGGATCAGCCAAAGGGTCCCCCGAGTTTCCCGGGTGCCGCGCATGAACCAGCCAGTAAGTTTGGATATACAAAGAAAGGAGCGTAGTGTTTTCCGTGGTTTCGAAACGACCGTAAATTAGCGTGGACTTATATTGAATGGGTTATATATGGAAAGTGCTCGTGTGTATTTATTTATGTCTTTATTATTGCCTATTCTTGCAGCTCGTCAAGTAAGCGCGTCGCCATGGCAGGGCTCAAACATAGTTGATCAAATTAGTACAGGACCACAACAACAAGCAGCTGATGGCAAGAGTTCACAAGAACAAGAACAACACCAACAACAACTGCAGCAACAGCAACATGCTCAACAAATGCAACAACAACTACAACATCAACAAATACAGCAACAACAACATATACAGCAACAGCAACAACAACAACAACAACAACAACAACAACAGCAGCAGCAACAGCAGCAGCAGCATCAACTGATACAACAGCAGCAACTGCAACAGCAAAAGCAACAGCAGCTGCAACAGCAACAAATACAGCAACAGCAGCAACAACAACAGCAACAACAGCAACAGCAACAGCAACAGCAACAGCAGCAACAACAACAACAGCCACCGTTGCAACAACGAAATGCACAACCGCCCGTACCGCAGCGTGTGCCGTCAGGACCTCCGTATCCGGGACATTCACTCCCCTTTGGAATTGGTGGTGGGTTCGCCGGGGTAGGAGGCAATCTCAATGGAGCTGTTTCGGCTTCTCAAACTAATGATGGTATGTCACTGTTGATATCTGTGTTTGCTCGGTTATCATGTATACTGACTGCTTGTAAAGTTCTGTTATCGCTGTTAGTGATTATAGTCTAGCGGTTATATAGATTGCGGCCTGGGTGTGTCAGTCACGCTTGGCGATTACGCGTATTGCAGTCTCGATACTACTTTATCGCTCAGTGGCATGAAGACGCCCGCGTTTGCTGTCGCGAATTTGTTCACTCAGATACTCACTGCTGCATGTGCATCTTCCAATTTCGCCACGTGTGATAGGAAAGAATGTCAATGGGGAGTGTATTTTCTGAGGTATCAGGAAATTTGGTTTTCTAATTCAGCTTATTTCGAACTTTTTCCATGTTAGCTATGATGAGAGCATTGCAGGAGAGCATGGAAACCTGCCCGACGGCGACAGATTCACAGAGGTATGCATTGACGTACATAGTAAGAACTCGCGCATATGTCAAAGTGTGTTTCTGATGTTAAGCTTTGTGTTGTATAACTGGTTTTTTGTGTGTGCAGGTCAATAGATAGATACAAATAGATACTCGCATATAGAGTTACTATAGGGATATAATATTTCACCGTTACGATTCACCACATGACATCACGGTATATATATATAGTAATGCAGACAAATGTACACAAGGTCTTAGAATTTTTTCGCAAATTAACTCACACACAACTATTAGTACAAGGACACGTGATTGTATGTACCTACAGTACCTCTATACACAGTTACACGCAGCACTCCTTACCTGTCATGGGCATATATATTTTTATTCTATATGCATAAATATATATATTCATATATATATATATATATATGTATATATCCTATCTATATCTATAACTTCATCTAGATCTATATCTATATCTATATCTATATATCCATATATATATATATATATATACTAC